CCCGCTTCTGACCAGGACTTCTGGCCTTGCTGGCAGTCTTGCCTCTGCCTGCTGCCCCACCCCCACCCCCTTACCCCCCACCCCCGCCCACCACCATCCCCAGGCAGGCCCTTCCCTGGCTGGATTACACAAGCCGCTGCCTGCGGCTTGCAGCCTGGGCTGTGGGCAGTTACTGGAAGGCCAGCTCTGCTCCAGGGCTTGACTGGGCGGGGGCCTTCTCCCCTCCTGCCCCTTTGGTGATTAACCTTGTGCGATGCCTGCCTGCATTCCACCACCCTCCTGGCCGGCCTGGGGGCTCAGGTCTGGGGTCAGGGCATATTTGTCCTGTGTTTGACTGTGTGGGGGCTCAGGCTTCATCACCCCTAAGCCTAGGACACCCTGATCAGGGCTTTCCTTGGTCTGACCCAGCGGGAACTTCTGGGGTTCTTCCGAGAGACTTGGGGCTCCTGGCAGGCTCTGGGTGTCTGTCTGCAGAGGACCCTCCCCATGGGGCCACAGGGCCGGCCTCAGGCTGTTCTGTTCCTAGTGGCTGGACCCAGTGGGTAGTAGCCATGCCATGACCAATGCCGATGGCTTCAGTGGGGCAGGAGCCACATCTGTACCTCCTGCCCTGACCCCTTCCCAGATGGGAGGGACAGGAGTTGGAGAGCCTTCACGGGCAGGCAGTTCAGGATGGCCTCTTCTGCCACTACAGGACATGACTCCGCACCTGCTGCTGTCAGCACCACAGAGTGAGAAGCCCACATAGCCGCCACCCGCGGGTCGCGGAGCCCCACTGCCATCCGCCTGATGCTGGCAGTGGAGCCCACCATGGATGGGGACTTCCCTCCTCCGCCCGAGCTCCCGCCACCCGGAGGTGGCATCCAGTTACAGGTGAGCCTTGCCCTTGATCTTGCAGCCACCCCAGGGGACATAGTGGATGCCCTGATGGCAAGTCTGCCATGACAACCTTTGGAATTCCCTAGCTCCCTGTGACACCCTGGACAGGGTCCTGTCCCTGAGTGAGGGTAAGTTGACTTTGACCCTGACCCGCCCGCAGCATCCTCCCGAGTCTCCTGGCCCACAATCCGCAGTAGAGGGCTTCTGTTTGTTTGTTTATTGTTTGTGTTTGAGGCTGGGTTTCGGGTAACCCAAGCTGGCCCCAAGTTTGCCAGTATGGGAGGGTGATCACGAACTCCTGGCTCCACCTCCTGAAAGCCAGGGTGACAGTCATGCACCACCACACCTGGTGTCTGTGGTGCTGGAAATGGAATCCAGGACTTGCATGCTGCAAAGAGCCCCAGTCCAGCCTTGCTTTTGGGTTCTTTGAGACAGGGTCTCACTCTGTCCCCGGACTGGCCTGGAACTCCAGCAGTCCTGCCTCAGCTCCCGGCAGGGGCTGCTCTTAAGGAAGGCAGCCCCTCTGCCCTCTGTCTCCTTGTGCTATCACAGGCCCTGAGGATGCAGGACAGACACAGGAAGGGTGGGCGGTCAGACAGGGTGAGGGTGAGCCAGAGCCATGTCATAGCATAGTCCCAGGGGACACAGGTGGGGACAGCTGAGACACTGAAGGACCGACCAGGTGGGGTGGTGCTTACCGCTTACCAGTGCGCACACCGTGCCCAGCCGACACCACACACTCCTGTGCTGGAGCAGGGAAGAGGAAAGGTCGTTAGTGGAGCTCCCATATTAGGGAGTTGGGGAGCAGCAGCGACCAACACCCAGAGTGTCGCTCACAGCCCAGAAACCCTGGCTGGAGTCCAGTACCTGTGGCCCGCAGCAGCCAGGCTGTGCCCAGTTCCTGCCTCTCTGCTTGGCCCTCCGTGTTCCCCGCCCACTATTCCTTCATCCACAGCCCGTAATTTACTTAATTATTTCCCTATTGTGGGGCCTTTGGAGAGAGTCCAGTTTCCTCTGCTATAAATAGTGCCACCTTCTCGTCCCTCCATCTGTCCCCATGCTGTGATTCCCAAACAGGAGCCCAGGGACAGAACCAGGGGTGGTGGGCTCCCAGTGCATGGTGCTGGGACCACCACAATGTGGTCCTTTATGGTGACATTCCAGGGCAGCATCAAAGCCCCATTAGGGATAGGAATGCTGGTCCCTTGTTGAAGAGGTCCTGGGTAAACCTCAACTTTGCCCAGAGTACCCTTGGGGCCTCAGAGCCTGGAACCACACCCCCAGCCTAAGCTACTCCCCAGCTCCTCACTGGGGGAATCTAGGTTGGGCTCCACCCTGACCACGCCCCCAGACCCTCACTGGGGATTCTAGGCGGGGCCTCACCCTGACCACGCCCCCAGCCCCTCACTGGGGATTCTAGGCGGGGCTCCACCCTGACCACGCCCCCACCCCTCACTGGGGATTATAGGCGGGGCTCCACCCTGACCACGCCCCCAGCCCCTCACTGGGGGATTCTAGGCTGGGGCTCTGCCACCAAGCCTTGTCCCTCTCCCTTTCCAAGCATAGCCTCCTGGGATCTTGTTGCAAGGGACCCTGGTCAGCCCTCTGGGGCCGCACACCCACATTCAGTGTGTCATTTGCTCCCTTCTGCTTTCCTTGCGACCCTCCGTGGCTTCCCTCATGCTCATGGGGAAGCTGAGACACTAGCTGATTTAGTGGTTCTCCATAACCCCTGCCCTTTGCACTGGGCCCTGCTTTCTTCCTGCTAATACCTGATGCCCCCTGTGTTTCAGAATCGACTCCTGCACTGTCCCTGGTGGAGCAGTTTTTCACCGGCCTCCTATCCCACCTTCTCCAGTGAAAACCAGTAAGTATTCAGAGGGGCTTCACCCCAACTCTGCATGGCCAGAGCCACCCCATACAGTAGAGCAGACAGGAGGACCCCAGAGTCTAGAGAGAGCGTGTTTGCAGAGTCCTGTGTCAGGACAAATCATCTGGGTTTGAAGTGGCAAAGGATGCTGGGAGAGGACTCCAAGGCCCCTAGAGAGTCCTGGGTTTGGAAGGCTTGGAAGACGTTTGCCTGGGGAGCGTGCCCTGTGCAGACAGCTCAGAGCAGATGTGGTCAGAGCTCTGCTCCAGGGTGTGTGCGAGCCTGCTCCTACTGTTCGTAGGGGTGTGTGGGTGGGTGGGTGGGTGTACACGTGTGTACCTGTCCATGTTATAGCGATAAATCCATGGGAGTCTGCTTAAAGGGCAAAAGGGATTTATTAGGAAAGAACCCACTAAAACAGGGTCCTGGAATGCTGAGGCGCTGAGTCAGTCCGCCGTCCAGGCCCATGAGAGAGAAGAGAGCCCTGTACATGCAGCTTAGGTCTTAAGGGTAGCCGGAGGCCACGCCCCAGGGGCAGGTACTTCAAGGTCATAGGTAGAGCAGTTACCTGCTACATCTCTAGGGGCGGTGCTTCAAGGTCACATAGAACAGACATCTGTTTCAAGGTCATAGACAGAACAGATATTTACTACAACATGTGGAGCCAGAAGTCAGTGCTGGGCATATTCCTCAGTCACTCAACACCTTTTTTTTCCCCTTTAAACTTGAGACAGGGTCTCACTCAGTGTAACCCTGACTGAACTCCCTGTGTAGCCCAGGCTGGCCTGGAACTCCCTGTGTAGCCCAGGCTGGCCTGGAACTCACAGAGATCCACCTGCCTCTTCTTCCCCAGGGCTGGGACTAAAGGGTGGCTGTCACACCCAGCTCATTTATGGGTATTTTGACTGCATGTATGTTTATATATGACGTGCATGCCATGGAGGCCAGAAGACAGTTTTGGATCCCCTAGAACTGGAGTTACAGATGGTTGTGAGCCACCATGTAAGTGCTGGGAACCTGAGTCCTCCGGAAGAGGAGCTGGTGCTCTAACCACTGAGCCATCTCTTCAGCCCCCTCCATCTTGGTTTTTTTTTTTTTTTTTTTTGGTTTTTCGAGACAGGGTTTCTCTGTGTAGCTTTGCGCCTTTTCCTGGAACTCACTTGGTAGTCCAGGCTGGCCTCGAACTCACAGAGATCCACCTGGCTCTGCCTCCCGAGTGCTGGGATTAAAGGCGTGCGCCACCACCGCCCGGCTTCCATCTTGGTTTTTGAGGGGGATCTCTCACTGGACCTGGAGCACACCACTGTTTGGCCCTGCCTGTCCCATTGCTGAGGTTATCTGTGTCTGTGGCCACGCCTAGCTCTTCTGGGTGCAGGTCCTCTCCTGTAGGGACCGGACTCTGGAATTGGTTATGTGAGCTCAGCCTTCACATCATTTTGGCAAACCTCTCCAGATAAGAGGTAGAGGCCCTAGGGATGGCCATCGTCCCTTTGCCCCAGGAACCAAGGAGGACACAGAGTTGGAGCTCCAAGTGGAGAGGCTCTGGGACCAACCGCCTCCTCCCCTGCCCCTGTGACTTCCCCACCCCCACCCCAGGCTCAGCTCACTGGGTCCCGCCCTCCTCCCTGTAGGGCCTCATTACTCTGACGGTGGGAGAAAGGCAGCTGTGACGGACAGACGGACGGGCCTCTGTCCATTCACACCCTTCTCTTCACTGTCCTTGGCCATTGAGAAACAGGGCAAGGTGCAGATGGACGGGGAACCAGGGCCTTGGGTCGTGCTTGTCGGGGTGTAGAGTCTGAGGGCCATGGAGGAGGCGCTGGCTGGCTAAGCTGTGCGTCTGTCAGAAACGCCTGGGCTGGATCCATGACTGCCCAGCTTGGCGGGCCGAGCCTTACAGGCCTTGTGACTGAGCTCCCACACGTTGAGGGCGCATTGGGACCCTTTTCTCCCCCTTGCCTCGCTCAGCCGCATGGTCGCTGTCCTTATTTTTGCAGACAGTTCGTGGGTTCCACCCCATTCCTTGGTGGCCAGTCCTGCCCCGACATCAGATACCCCACCACAGCCTCTGTCCCCAGCATCTTCTCCAAGAGCGGCGACTTCCCTCAGGTAACAGCCACCCTTGTGTCCACTGCACAGGGCCCTGAGCCATGGCTGTGGCCTCCGTCTTCAGCAGGGCTGATGGGACAGGGATGCAAGGCCACTCTGGGCAGGAGAATCAAGCCACCCAGACTGGTCTTGGCATCCTGGGATTGAGATCTGCTGTCACTGGCCGTTGAGACTTCGCCTCAGAGTTGTGTCTGGAGGTGACTTTTCCATAGCCAGGGGGGCGGCATGAGGAAGGCTGAGGTTACCACGGTCTGTGTCCCACGGGTCCGTCGTCTGCCTCCATGGGCTCTCATGCCCGCCTCACAGCCTGCATTGTGGCGGGACCTCCCTGCAGGCCTCACTCAAGCCCTCTGTAGCCTGTGCTGGCAGAAAAGCCCCCCACAGGTCACAGGAAAGGGTCAGAATCCCGTTCCCCATGGGTCACCAGGGCATCTGCCCCGCCAGCCCCTCTCACTGCCACCCAGGGACTCCCAGCAGCCAGCTGTCCCAGGGCAGCGCCAGGGCAGCGGCACATGTCTGTCACCCCGTCTCTCCAGAAGTGTAGAGTGTGGTGTCATCAGGCTCCTCAGACACAGCGAGGAGGCCATGCCTGTCAGCCCGCATCTCCTTGCCTCGTCTGCCTTCTGTCTTCGTCTGTGTGTCTGTCTCTCTGTGTGTTAGTCAGGGTTCTAGAAGACAGAGCAATGAATGAACATATAATATATATTACACACACACACATAGATGTAGATACAGACATGTGGCCATTTGGTAGTGTGGCTTATAGGCTGTGGTCTGGGTAGTCCTAATCCAAGCGTGATTGTCTCCAGCAGTTGCTCAGTCCACAAACAGGTCTCAGCAGTCCCAGTCCAGCGCTGGAGTCCTGGAGGGTTCCTGGGGAACTGCTGGTCTCAGTCTGCACTGGGATCCGGGGAAGTGGGCTCTCACACCAGTGAAGGAAGCCTCAGCCGCAGGGCAGAGGAGCCTGCCAGCCAGAGCGGGCAAGCAGGTGGAGAGCAAACGCGGCCTCCTCCTGTGGGCTGCCGCCGGAGGGTGTGGCCTGCCGCCGGAGGGTGTGGCCTGCCGCCGGAGGGTGTGGCCTGCCGCCGGAGGGTGTGGCCCGGGTGAGGGTCCCGTCAGGAGAGCCCCCACAGGTGTACCCAGCTGCTTGGGTTAGTTGTTCCAGATGTGGTTGAGCTGGCAACAAGATCAGCCATCACACTCTGTCTCTGTATTGTCTCCCTGTCTCGTCTCTGCCCTCTGTCTTCGTGTCTCTGTCTCCATCTCTTCTGATGCCGGAGGCCCACACCTGCCTCCTCCCTGTGGTCAGAGCTCCCTGAGGCCTGTCCCCCCGCCAGCTGTGCTCTTGTGGTCTGCTCCTTGTCTGAACCCTGTTTGTCCCAACACACCTGGCGACATGGTGGCTAGCTGTTACCTCTCATGGCAGATGGCCATGTCCATCCAGAGGATGAGCATTTATTGAGTACCTGCTGTAACGTGTGTCCTGCACACACTGTCCCCAAGATGCCTGTGCCCTGTCCACAGAAGCTTGGACCCAGGGGACTCTATTAAAACCACTGGTTGTGGGACCGAGCTTGTCACCTGCCTCCACCTCCACCACCTCTGCAGGCCGTGGATGGCCTGGAATTCCATGGAACAAGGAGGACAGACTTGAGCCAAGCGTCATGGCAGGGCAGAAGGGACATGAAGAGTGCTTCAGTGAGAGCCCTGAGCTGGGGACCTCTCCCTAGAGCTCAGAGGGAGGCAGGACGGTGAGAGTCAAGAGCCCAGGGGCTGGCAGGGTGTGGTGCCAGCCCCACCCACCTGGTATAGAGTTCCTGCCCTGTAGGCCCAGGCCTCTGTGCTCTGTATGGACGTGTTCACCACTGCAGTGGGAGCCAGGAGTCGGACAGAAAACCCAGCCCTGCCCCGAGCCAGCAGAGAAGAAACCCTCAGGCAGCTGGGCACTAATCACAAGCCCTCCAGTTTCCTGCTAGAAGAAGCACAAAGAGAAAGGAGATGAGCCATGTGACTTCCCCCTCTAAGGAGAAAGTCCTCCTGTCGTCCTAGCTCGGAGCTAGGCAGGAGGATAGTCTTGGGTGTTCCTGGGCTACACCTCGAGATTCCGCCTCAAAGCAACAAGAAAACTGCAACAGGAAAAGAAACAGAAGAAACCCAGAGTAGTGTCCGTCATTCTGCCTGTCCCTTCCTCGTGGAGAGGAGCCTCCTGTGCTCATGGCAGCTTGGAAGTCACCTCTGCTGTGAGCTGTGGGAGTCCCCTCCCCCAGCATGGGGTCGGCTCCCAGGACACCTTCGACACCTGGGGCCCCAGTAGCTGTTGACTGGACCCGTCTTATGCGGTGGTCACTTGGGGCTCCTGCGGAGTGTCCTGAGTTCCTGACCGTACCTCCTGGAGCCCTGCCTTCCTTTTCAGCCAGCCCCAGCCCTCAGTCACCTGCTTCTGCAAGGAAAGGGCCCCGTGCATCCCTGCTCCGCCTTCCATCTCCAGGTGGCATGGAGCCCCTACCCCATGGGCTCTGATATCCCTGCTGGATGACCGGAACAGTTCCACAGACCCCTGTGGGCATAGCCCACCTGGGCCATGCAGGTGCGTGGGTACTCAACGTCTGGTTTTGTCTCCATTCTTGAGTTTTGTTTTTTAAGTTGAGACATCATGTGATTCCAAAGCTACCATGTCACTCATCCCATGAATTACCACCTCTCCCTCCTCGGTCCCCAGCACCTAAGACTCCTTTTCCTGTCTTTGGATTCTCCTGCTCTGGACATTTGCTGTCGTGGAGTCCCACATTGTGTGGCCTTTTGCGTCTGGGTCTGTCGCGATGTTCCGGTCCCTCCACACTGTGTCACTACCTTTCATGGCTGAGCAGCACTCGTGTGTTGTCCGCTCACCTGCAGCACTTGGTCATCATGTGACCGTCATGGATGACAAGGGTTCCCATGGGGATCTGCCCCTGTGGTTCTTGGGTGCACACCCTCCTGGGTGTGCGAGTGCAGGTGACCACTGTGTGCGGTCAGTGGAAGCTTCTGTTTCCGGGGTACAGACAGGGTTGACTGTTAGCTTGGGAGTAGGGGGTGCTGGAGGCAAGGGGAGGGACCTGCCGTCTAGCCACCTGCCCTTCCTCTACCCCTCCTGGAATGCCCTGGGTCCTCAACATTCACAGTGCCCGACTAGCCCTGCAGCTGCCCTGAGGCCACATTCTTAGCCGTGGCCCTGTGCAGGGAGGACCAGAGCCCTGTGTGCACAGGTAGGCCTGCACCCCAGGCCCCCCACATCCCTCCAAGACTGTGTGTCTCCTAACGTGCTCCCTGGCTGGTTGCTGGGAAGCTCGATGAGCTCACGCTCAGGAAGGAGCGGTGCCGCGGCCGCCTCCCGCCTCCCGCCCTGCCCAGGGGCTGCATCGACTGCTCCACAAATGCTAGTCGGGGATCAGAGGTCTGGCCGCTGCCTGCCCAGCAGTTTACCGGCATCACAGAAAGGAGAGCCAGAGAGGGGCGCTCGCTTACGGGAAGCCACGCTGACTGCTGCCACGACTAGAGAGGTGGGCAGGGGGGACCCTGCGCATGGAGATCCACAGCACTGTGGCCCAGGCTGTGCACAGAACTTGTGAGCCACGGGCCGGGGCTTGTGGAGAGGCAGGGAGTAGGCAGGGCAGGGGGACTGGGGCCCAAACCATTGAGAACCTGGCTCTCCAGCTGCAGAGCCTGGTGTGAGGCTGGTCTGCACAGCCCCTCCCTGGCCACTCCCACCACCCCAGTCACCAGGTGTCTGAGCCTGTCCTCACCGTCCTGTGTCTCAGCTCCTTTGTCCGTCCCTCTATCCCATAGGGACATCTGTGGTTGAGTAAAAACTCAACCCTGACCCTGTGGGACTTCCTAGTAGCCCAATATTTCTGCTGGACTGTGTTGCTAGGAGTCAGGCCCAGACACAGGCTGTTCTAACAGAAATGTTTTATTTGTTTGCTGTTTTTGGATTTGGGGTGTTTTTTTTTTTCCCTTGGTTTTTCGAGACAGGGTTTCTCTGTGTAGTTTTGGTGCCTGTCCTGGATCTCGCTCTGTAGACCAGACTGGCCTCAAACTCACCAAGATCCGCCTGCCTCTGCCTCCCGAGTGCTGGGATCAAAGGCGTGTGTCACACCCACCACCCACCCCTGGCGCTGTTTTTGTTTTTATTTATTTCAATTTTATGCACACATTTGTCTGTGTGAGGGTGTCAGATCCCCTGTAACTGGAGTTACAGACAGTTGTGAACTGCAATGTGGGTGCTGGGAATTGAACCTCTGAGCCTTCTCTCCAGCTTCTATATTTAAAATTTAATTTTATAGTTTCTGTTTGTTTTTTTTTAAACAGGGTCTCATGTAGTACAGGCTAGCCCTGAACTCACTGTGTAGCTGAGGATGACCTTGAACTTCTGATCCTCCTGCCTCTACCTCCCATACCTGATTTATGTGGTGTCTGGGATGAACCCCAGGGCTCTATGTGTGCCCGCGCCCACTCTATCCCACAAGCCCAGCACCAGTTCCTGTATTCTTTTTGTTTGGTTGCTTGGATTTTTGTTGTTGTGGTTGAGACGGGGTCTCTCTACATAGCACTAACTGTTCTGGAATTCATTATGTAGACCAGGCTGGACTTGAACTTTGCCTCCCGAGTGCTGACACTAAAGACGTATGCCACCAGGCCCGGCTTATTTCACTTTATATAAGACCAAAGTTTCATTGTGTAGCCCAGGCTGGCCTTGATTCCATGGTGGTGCTCCTGCCTAAGCCTCGAGTGCCGGGATCACACACGTAAGCCACCATGTCAGATGTACAGACAGCTCTGCCCTGGGCCCCCTGTGAGGCCAGCAGCCCTCCCGGTCCTACTCTGTCCCTTTGATGTGGTACAGGGAACCCTCTGCTATTCCCAGCCTGGCCGCACAGCCCTCCACCAGGTTGGCAGGGGGAGGGGAGCCAAGGCAGAAGACATGGTGGGGTCAGATGAGGTGCAGGCTGCCCCTGTAAGGGACCCTCACCCCCACTGCTTCTACCAGATCCAAAAACCAGCCTGGGACCCCATCCACGCCCTCTGTCCAGCCCTGCCACCCACCCCTGGCCATAGCCACAGACTTCCACATCAGCAAATGTCCCGCCCCTGGGCTTTGTGCTCTAGTCTGACCCTGTCCATCAGGACCCTCTTCACCCTGTCCCCAGCTCTCCCTCCTCCCAGCCTAACTGGTCTCAGCCACTCTGTGCCCTAGCCTTGAGTCCTCCTGGCCTCTAGAGCCCCCTTGCCTAGCAGCCCACATGGCCTGGCCTCCAGGGGCTATGAGGGGCAGAGTGACCTCACAGCCATGGTCAGAGATCCTCCCTGCCACACCCTGAGTGCTCTCTCGTGCCCACCCGAATCCGACCCCTGGGAGGCCCTCAGGCCCTGCACCCGCACACGTGGGTTGTTTGGGACTTGAGCTTTTTCACATCGGTTCCATCTGTCCCTGTCCTCCTGAACCTCCCCCCCCCCACACACACACCACCATCACCACCACTACCACATACACACAGGGTCTCTCTGTAGCCCTGGCTGTCCTGGAAACTCGCTCTGTAGACCAGGCTGGCCTTGAACTCAAGATCCACCTGCCTCTGCCTCCCCAGTGCTGGAATTAAAGGCGTGCGCCACCACGCCTGGCTGACAGTTCTTTTTAAATCAGAATTCACACAGCTGTAAAGATTGTCCTTTCAGAGTACACTGACCTCCCACAGGCAGATCAGGAGTTCAGGGGTAGCCTTGGCTGCATAGAGTATATTTATAGACGCAGGCTGGCCTCACCTCTATCCAGTTCTAGAACATCCTGTCTCCTCAGAGGAAAGTGTGTCCCTGTGAGAGATTACTCCATCTCATACCCAGCCCATGCATGGTGTCTGGTTCTCTCACTGAGCCCCGTGTCCTCAAGGTTCTTCCTGCTGTGTCCTGCTGGCGTCTCCTGTGCATGGCTGTGGGACACTCCTGCCTGTGGACAAAGCGTGCTGTGTGCATTGGTGGGCGATGACTGATTCACTGCTGTGGGTGCTCCTAGTTTTCCCACAAGTGTCTGGAAATGCGTCTGTGGAGCTTGCCGGCTGCTTCCCCGGGTCTCTGGGCTTCAGCCCCCCACATCCTGGTCAGCATTCACTGTTGCTGACTTTTGAGTCTAGCTGTCTTTGGAGGTATTGGTCACTCTCCGTTCTGTTTTACGTTTACTGAGATAGGCTCTTGCAGTGTAGCCCAGGCTGTTCTCGCAATCTTCCTGCCTCAGCCTCTCTAGGGTGATGGCAAGCATGCTCCACAATGCCTGGCTTCACTTTGATGACTGGAATTGACACTTTGCTCAGTGCCTGCGTAGGGACAGGGGCTCCTGGGTAGGACTGATACTGCCACGGTCACTGAGGGCCGGGCACATGGTTTGCTCCATCTGCTGCTTCTGGGGCCTTTGTCCTGGGTGGCCAAGGGTGTGAGAATCTAGGAGAACCTGTGGCCCCCTGGACCTGACAAGGTGGCTAGGGCTCTTTGTCCCTGGATGGGATCCTCAACCTCCTTCCCAGGAGTTCTGGCACTGTGTGGCTCTCTTCAGAGATCCCTCTCCCTCTAACAGGAGAGGCTTGTCCTGGTGTGTGGGGGGGGACAGCTGTGAATGATTATAGACCTGTGGGGGATCACACCGCTGTGCTGCATCCCTGCCTGCCTACAGGGGAAGGGTCTTCTCCCTCACGGTTTGACCCTGGGGTCTCCTCGACACCCCAGCTCCTTCAGGGACATCAGGAATGACCACTTGTGGCCCTGGGGTGAGGAAGCTTGAGAATATGGTTTGATGAAGGGCTGAGGAGCTCAGCTTACGGGAGGAATAGAAAGGTACCTAGACCTCAGTTCCCCTAGCTCAGCTTCTTACAATGTCCCTCCAGCCCCTAGTCCCTGCCATCCTTGGGGCGGGGCACAGGACAGAGAGTCGAGGACTTTGGTAGTCCTGGGGAAGCCGAGGCTTTGTCCCCTACCCTCATGAGATGCCCCGAGGAGTGGGGCCAGACCCGGAGCTGGGCCCAGCAGGGTGCGCCGCTGTTGACAGCCCTTCTGGGCCGATCCGCCCCCTACAGTAATTCTCCGCACTCTGCCAGTAACTGCCCTGACTTACCAGGCAGGCATCATTTCCTGAAACTCAGCCCAGCCTTAGGGGAAGTCGGAGCCGGTGACTAACCCTCATGCAAATGGGGCCAGCAGGATCGCTGCTGCCTCCGTGCCCCACGGAGCTGCTGAGCCTGCTGCCTCCGTGGTCATGAGGCTGCTGCTCCCCAGCAGCTCTTCCAGGGGGACCCAGCGGCCACTCAGCGCCCCACACCCCGACCATGTCGCAGCTGCGCTTCTGGCTGCAGTTCGCCGCGCTCAACAAGGTAACCTGCCAGGGACCAGCAGGGCCACCCAGAGCCACCTGTGGCGCCCCTGAGCTCCCACAGGTGGCAGAGCTGTGGCGCGGGACCCCCCCAGCCCTGCCCACTCTGTACTTTTCTTGGCAAGTTACAGTGAACATGCCAGACTTTTTTAAGCCATTGATTTGGTACTCAGGGTATTAGCATCATGGGGTGACTGGGGAAGGAGAGACAGGGTGTAGGTGGCCAGAGCTGACCCAGCTCCCCTCCGTGCTGGGGAAGGGAGTTGAGCGTGTGCTCAGCTTGTGTGGGGCCATCGTCAACACCTCCTCCCGGGCTACGGCAGAACTCGGTCTCAGGCAGGTCTGGAGGGATAGGTAGAGCCGGGAGCCCGTCCGTCCGTCTCCCCTGACCTTCTGGTCCAGAGGGGGTTTCTGTGGTCCTTCCTGGACTGGGGGGGTGTCTGCCATGTGACCTCAGAGTGGCCTAGGAAGATCTAGGGCAGCTCCTGCCGGTTCCCCTCCCCCAGCAGGCGGACCTCAAATGCTGCAGCCAGTAACCACAGTGGGGACCCTCTCAACCTCCTCATTCTGTGCCATCCAGTAGGTCTGTGCTCTTGCCTCTAGAGACCCAGCAAGGGAGGAGATACATGGTATAGCTTTTAGAGGGCCTCACTGGGAATCCCACCCTCAGAGCATCCTGCAGGGGAGGCCCAAGGGACCAGGCATCCAGCTGTGACATTTCAGTGGCGGGGGTGGGTTGGGGGGATGCTCACCAGTGTGGGTCTGTGCAGATTAGCTAGAGACAACTGAGATCTGGGTCCTGATGTGTCCTGGGGCATCGACACTCACATGTGAGCGGGACCTGGGCACCCTGGAAGCCCTGTGTCCAGATGAAGTGTTGTCCCCGTGCCCGTGGGTGGCTGGGCTGTAGGGAGGTGGTGTCGGGAGGTTTGTCCTTTACTGGCTTTGTTGGTAAGTTTTAGACTGGCATTGGAAGTGGAGGTAGGATTGGGGGTTCGAGGCCAGCAGGGGCTGCATAGTAAGTCTGAGCAGCCTGGGCAGTGTCTCAGAAAATTCGAGTTCCGGTGGCCCAGCTCCTCAGAGCCCTCACTTACCCTCCCTGTGCCGTGCACATCACCCTGAGGACCTTGGCTGACACAGTGCACTCTTAACCATAACTGTCTGCCGTATCTAGTGCCTCAGTTTCCCCTCACTTTCTTTCTCCGTCCTGCGATGCCTCAGGACATCAGCCATCCTACCCCATCAGGCCGCCTCCCTGGGCCAGTCTTAGCCGACAGTTGGGTTGAGGCCACTGTGGGAGGTACTGGGGTTGCCTCCCCTAGCCGCATTTCCAGAGACCGTCAGGGAAAGTGGGGCAGAATGGGCCTGCGCTGCTTCTTGCCAATGGCTTTGCTGAATCTTGGTTTCTCGAGTATGGGCCCTTGTGATCCACTGGCTTGCTAGCGTCGTGTGCAGGAGGGTCCTGGGGAGCCCTGAGACATGCAGCTCCAATGCCCACCTCTGCCTCCTCCCTTGTCCAGGGCTGGGTTCTCCCAGGGGACTTTCTCACCTTACTGGAGACCAAGGGTTTCAGAGCTGTCCCATGCTGCCCTACTAGGGTTTAGTTGGGTGCTGTGCTGGGGACAGGGAGATGGGACAGGGCACAGTCTGTGGCTGCTGACTGACTGAGCCTGCTCCCAACACGTGATGGGAAAATGGGGGTCTCGAGAGCCCATGGTGCCCTTTCCTGCTGCTGAATACAGGCTGCCACCTCTGCAGTGGGGTCACAGGGCCCTGTGAGGTGGGTCTTGTGAAGCCCAGCCCCATAGCAACCCAGGTTCACTCAGGGTTCTCCAGGAAGCTGCCAGGTATCTAGCCAGTTGCCTACTCTTCCCTGGGTGAAACCAGATGGCCCTGGCCTCCCTCAGCCGAGGGGCTGACAATGGCAGCCGCCCTCATACAGGACCAAGACTCCTGAGTCCAAGGAGACAAGCCCTGGAGAGCGGCCCCAAAGTAGGCTGGGCAGGCTGGGGCCATTCTCAGGGTCTTCTGCCCCTCCCGACCTTGAAGCTCGGACCCCTGTCATCTGGTCACTTCGCCTTCCTGTCTCCAGGGGCTGGCCAGGTTCAGGGACAGCCTCTCACCCAGCACAGCCCCATTCTCCAAGCATGCCTCCTTGGCAGACAGCGGCCTGGAGCGTCTGCTCTGCATTCTGGGAGGGAGTGCTCACCGTCAAGGCGGGGGGTCAGGGTGTGTGGAGGGGCTCCCCACAACAGGTCACCCCTGGCTCTGGTGTGACCCCAAGTGACCTCCTGGCCTCCAGCTGTGCCACAAACACGCTCCCCAATTCCTCAGGGCAGATGTCAGCAGGAGGGCACCCGGGGCAGGGAGGTTCTGCCCCAGGCCAGGCTTCCAGGGACATCAATCACCCTGGCCCCAATCCCTTGTCTGAAACTGGAGGGACAGGGCATGGTGACCCCAACCTGCAGACACTTTCAGGTCACCGGGTGGGAGCAGGGCATGGTGACCCCAACCTGCAGACACTTTCAGGTCGCTGGGTGGGGGTGGGGCATGGTGACCCCAACCTGCAGACACTTTCAGGTCGCCAGGTGGGGGTGGGGCATGGTGACCCCAACCTGCAGACACTTTCAGGGTCACTAGGTGGGGGCAGTGGCGTGGTGACCCCAACCTGCAGACACTTTCAGGTCGCTGGGTGGGGGCAGTGGCGTGGTGGCTCACACCAGTCATCTTGGGAGGCTTTGGGGCAAGGAGTGCCATGAATTTGAGGCTAGCCTGGGCTACAGAGCAAGCAAACGTAGGCTTATTGTGTCTGATCCACGTTCTGTATCGTCCACTCCTTTAAAGTGCGCATTTCTGTGGTTTTAATATATTTTTAGCTGTGTATTTAATGGCTTCTGGAACATTCCATCCCATCAGAAGAAATCCCATCCCCGTTACCATCACCCCAATCGTCTCCAGGTCCGGAACCCCTGAATCCATTTGTCATCACTGGGTTCTCCTGTTCTGGACATTTTCTATCATAGAGTGCACATTGTGGACTTTCGTGTCTGTTCTCACTGAGCACTGTGTCCTCAAGGTCACTTCATGTTGTGATGTGTGGGACTTCACTCCTGTTCACGGCTGTGTGATACTCCACTGTGTGGCAGAATACACCGTCGCTTGCCTGGACGCCCGTACACTGCCAGCCACTGCCTCACCCCTGCTTTCTCCTAGGACCCCTCATGCCTCGAGGACCTCTCCAATGCCTCCATCTTCTCGTCCTCTGTGGATTCCCTGTCAGACATCCCTGACACACCTGACTTCGGCCATGTCGACAGCCTCAATGAGGTGTCCACCATCTGGGACGTCAGCACCACCTCAGCCCCCCATGACAAGGTCCGCAAGGCCGTGGCACCACCTCCAGAGCCTCTCTGGTGACAGGTGGAGCAGGGAGGGCTGTGACCTGAGCTCCTCTTGGGAGGCCTGGGTTCTGAGGGTCCTGTACCGCAGAGGCTGGAGAAACAGTCTCCACAGCCCTAGAGGCCCAGCACACATCCCGTGTCTCCAGATGACCCCAGTGGGCCCCAGGCGTTGTGTGTCCCAGCAAGACACAAAGCGGGTGGAATCTGTCTGTCTTTGGAGTCTCACAGAGCCCAGGCTGGTCTCAACTTTGCTCTGTAGCCAAGGTTGACCTTGAACTCCTGATCACCCCCCTCAGCCTCCTGAGTGCTGGGGTGACAGGTGTGTGCCAGTGTGTCTGACTCCAGAGGCAATTGAGTGGCCAATTCTCACCCTAAGAACTGCCCTCAGTGGACCCCAGAGACATGCATGACCGTCCCAGCTCGGGGTGGCTCCTGGCCTGGTGGGTGGTGGTCAGTGACCCTGCTCAGCTCCCTGTAGGGCCCAGGATGCCTCACAGGGAGCACCTGGCCTCATGTCCAGGATGAGGAGCCACTTAGCTGATGCCCCAGAGCACACCACAGTGAGGCAGACGGTGTCTCTCAGGGGACCCTGGCTTCTGAGACTGACCTCCTCTCTCGGTCCACACACTGTGGATGGGTTTCCATGTGGACAGCGCCCCAGAAATCAGCAGGCAGGTGACTGTAGGGTGCCCAGGATTCGAGGCAGACCCAGAGAGCTCTTGGCCGGCAGGGAGTTTTGTCCCCCGAGGACTAACGACATGCGTGGCCATCCCGCCTTGGGGAGCCCTTGGCATGGACAGAGCCTCATCCAGCCTGACCAGGTCCCTGATCCTAGGGATGCCAGGGGACCCCAGTCCAGGCCTTCCTGGGGTCTTCCAGATGGAAGCTTCTAGACTTTGAGAGTGTAAGTTAGGAATGCCCCAGGAGTCTCCAGGTGGAGACCTTGATGCCCTCCCTGCAGCTCTGAGGTAAGGGGCAGTGGTGCAGCTGGCACAGGGCCGGCAGGGCAGACCTCCTTTGTATCCTGCCCCTGCTGTGAGGAGCCACTGAGGCCTGTTCCCTGCTGAGATCAAGGCCACAGGGTACTGCTCACCCCGCCCAGGGCCCCAGGCTGCTGTGGACCAAGCCCTCCTATCTGAAACCCGACACCCTGCACTGCCCCAGCCCGGCAGGCCTGGAGGCCGGCAGGCCGGAACATGACTCAGCCTTCCAGGAACCTCCACCAGTCTGTTTGGGTTTTTGTTAATTTAAGAAAGAAAAAAAAAAAAGAAGAAGGCAGGAGGATTGAGTGTGGACTTGTAACCTTCCCAAGCTTCCGCTGCTTTCAACATCCCTGGCTCTGTTCCCAGCAGAGCAAGGGACATGTGACAGTGACTGTCCCTGCAGTGCCCCAGGGACTCCTGTCCTCCCTCAAGGATGCCGACCCTCCAGTGAGCCCCACAGGTCAGGGCTGAAGGCCCTGCCGTCAGGAGCAAGGGCAGGCCGGGCCCAGCCACTGAGCGGCCCCTCCTCACTCTGCCAGTCCCAGGGACTGTGCTCAGTGGTTGGAGCACTCCCCCATAAGGCCCTGGGCTCTCTCCTCTGCACCGCACAGTGAACCAGGTGTGGTGCTGTTCCTGTAGTCCCAGCACTCCACTCGAGAGGTAGAGGCAGGAGGATTGGGGTTTCAGGGTCCTTGGCTACATAGGAAGGTTGAGGCCAGCCTGGGCTACATGACCCTTATTTAAAAGTCCAAACAAACCCAACGGAGGCTGGTCTGCCATTGCAGACTCTGCTCCCAGCATCTCCACGGTGGGCCACAACCATCTCTAACTCCAGTTTCGGGGAGCAGCACCTTCTGGCCTCCGTAGGCACTGCATGCACACAGTGCACTTATGAACATGTAAGGAAGCACCCATACACATAACATAAACAAGTCTTTAAAATCTACCCATATGTTTAGATTGGGAATTATTGAGAATTAGTTTGCAAAGGAGAGCCATGTCCCCTGAATGGCTACAGACTCACCTCACTGGCCAGGCCACACCATTTGTCCAGCCTAGGGTCAGCACTTGTGGCTAATGCTGCATGCCCTGCGGCCCCCACCCCCCACCCCCCGTTCACTATGATGAGACTCGGGGCCGTCCATCTCTCCTGTAAAGGACTCTGGTTTGTGACATTTGGAGTGTGGTCTCAGTGTTGGGGACATTCTCACCTGATCACCCACAGAGGAACCTTCACCCTCAGGAGGCCTTGCAGGGCCATTCCTCAGCTACTGGGTGCGGAGTGACTCCCAGGGACGTTCGCCCAGCCTGCCGCGCCCAAGTCTGCATGCTGGGACTATTTGGCTGGCTTTTGCCTACTTTTCCTTGGTCCAGAGGCTACTACCTCATGGTCCCCCATGCACCACAGGGACACAGTCTGTCCTCCGCCCATCCTACCAGGGGCTGCCAGGTCCCAGGTTGAGTCGGGGGCTTTGGCCCCTGAGAATGAGCAGCCCCTACCTAAGGATACCGGCACTGGCATAGGAGGCCGTGACTCGCCCTCCCCTGTTGTCTCTACAGCTGTTCGTGCCTAGTGCGCCACTCTCAACTCTGGAAGACCCAGTTTCCAGCACCCCGCTTCTCATCAGCTACCAGGTAAACTGGGTGGCCAGGTATTACCTGGGGATCTAGAGAGAGGCTCTGAAGGCATCTCGAGTGTGCTGGGCCCTGGGCAGCCCGGATGCTGGGCTGCCCTGCCCATTTTACAGTTGGAAAAACTGAGGCCCCACTTAGGGGCAAAGGTGGAGCCACCTCCACCCCACACCACTGTGCTGGGCGCACTGTGCAGCAAGGCTTCCCCAGGAGGAAGCTGGGTCACTGCAAGATAGGACAGACCCCGAACTGTCCCACCTACAGTCTCACAGCCAGCCTGAGGAGGAGGAGGCGGAGGAGGAGGAGGCGGCAGAGGAACTGGGCCATGCTGAGACCTATGCAGACTACGTACCATCCAAGTGTAAGTGTCTGCGCCAGGGACAGGATGGAGACGCCCCTAAGGAGACAGCTGTGTGAGCCCTGAGGACTCCCGACCCTTCCTCGTCCACAGTCACAGGGGTGGGGTGGACAGCTGGCGTCCTGCTCCTTCTACCCTGCTGCTTCCTGTGCACCAACCCCCTGTGTCCCCTCACCAGCTAAGATTGGGAAACAGCATCCAGACCGTGTGGTGGAGACCAGTACCCTGTCCAGCGTTCCTCCCCCAGACATCACCTACACCCTGGCACTACCCACCTCGGACAACGGGACCCTGTCTGCCCTACAGCTGGAAGCCATCACCTATGCCTGCCAGGTAGCCAGCCCCCCACCCCTACCAGGCTCATCAGGAGGGCACCAGGCATCCCAGGCCTGACCTGCCTCTGCTCACCCACAGCAACATGAGGTCCTGCTGCCCAGTGGGCAGCGTGCTGGTTTCCTGATTGGGGATGGAGCTGGCGTGGGCAAGGGCCGCACAGTGGCTGGCATCATAGTGGAGAACTACCTGCGGGGCCGGAAGAAGGCTTTGTGGTGAGCGCCTGCCTGGCCTGATGGAGCAGGTGGGGGGTAGAGCGGACCAGGAGCGGCGGCGCACCTGACCAGGCCTCTCCTCAGGTTCAGTGCCTCCAATGACCTCAAGTACGATGCAGAACGGGACCTGAGAGACATCGAGGCCCCAGGCATCGCGGTGCACGCTTTGAACAAGGTGGGTGGGCCATGCATGGCCAGCTGAGTCGACCCCCCTTTACTAAGAAGAAACCAAAGTAGGGGGTCCCTGCATGCATCCATGTCTGAACCTGTGTCCACAGATCAAGTACGGTGACAACACTACCTCAGAGGGTGTCCTCTTTGCCACCTACTCCGCCCTGATCGGAGAAAGCCAGGCAGGTGGACAGCATCGCACGCGCCTCCGCCAGATCCTGCAGTGGTGTGGCGAGGCCTTTGATGGCGTGGTATCCTGTAGCCGGGGTGCGGGTGGATGGACAGATGGGCATGGAGAACGGTGGGCTGGGCATAGGGCCTGAACTGAGTGGGGGTGAATGAGAGGAGCCCAGCCTGGGAGGGGGAGCTCCCCATCAAACTAGGCCTGCGTCTTCGCCCCCAGACTGGCACGGCCCTTTCAGAGCTGTTCTGATATGGGGGGCTGAGCACGGGGCAGAGCCTGCAAGCTGTTCTTACTCTCTGCCCCTCCTGATCTGGTCCTAGCGAGCCTGTAGGCGACCAGATCCCCTGTAGAGTTAGGAGCCACTGGCTGGCGGTGTGGGACAGAGCTTGTCCATGCTGGGGCTCCTCAGTGTGGGTAGCCCACAGGACCCAGGGCACAGTGTGTGCCTATGGTGAGTGCTGCTGGCCCTACAGCAATGTGCCAGGGGTGGTGGCCGTGAGGCCCACAGGGTCCGCGCTGCTGTGGCAAGAGCCTCTACCCAGTGTGTTTTTTCTGTCCTTCTCTTTCTGGTGTTATGGTTTCCATGTAGTTCTAACTGGCAGCTCTGCTAAGCCATGTCCCCACCCCCTTGGTGCATGGGGTTTTTTTAGACAGGGTGTCCCTCAGCAGGGGCTGCCATGGCAGGCAGGGGCCACTCGGCCTGGCTTGTGTGGTGCTGAGGATGGAACTTGGAGCTTCCTGCCTGCTAAATAAGCTCCCACAGAGCAGCATTGCCCCACCCCAGCACCCTTTTAACGCCTACCAGTTATTCTGTGTTCCTCAGATCTCCGGCCCTCCACATCCCCTCAGTTGACAGATACCACCACCACTGCATGCCCCCCATGCCTCTGGAGTTTCCTCTGGTACATTGTGGGGTATTGACTGGGGACACCTTCCATCCTTCTGGAACATTCCTTAACCCAGCATATCCCAGATTGTGTTTGATGAGTGCCATAAAGCCAAGAATGCCAGTTCTACCAAGATGGGCAAGGCCGTGCTAGACCTGCAGAGCAAACTGCCCCAGGCCAGGGTGGTGTACGCCAGCGCCACAGGTGGGTGGAGGCAGTCCCTGAGCTGGGTGGGCAAGCGCTGTCACGCGTGGCCTCTGGTGGTGCTGTCACCTACACAGGGATGGGTGTCCTGCCAGCCCTGAGCAGGACTTTGACCTCTACCCGGGTTTCTGCTTGGCACCCGGGGCAACTGTGGAGCTTGCTTTCTCCAAGCTAGCCTTCCCTTTGCTGATGGGCTCTGGCTGACCTTGAGGGTACCCCTGGACATGTTCCCCAGAACTTCAGTTCCCTTCCCTTGGCCCCCCACCCCTCCCTGGGGCTACAGCATGTGGCCCATGCCACCTCCCAGCTGTGTCGTGAGCGGCTCAGCTCCCTGCTTCCAACCCCTAGGTGCTTCCGAACCCCGCAACATGATCTACATGAGCCGCTTGGGCATCTGGGGTGAGGGCACACCCTTCCGAACCTTCGAGGAGTTCCTGCACGCCATTGAGAAGAGGTGAGCCCCCGCTCTGCTGTGGGGGTGGCTGTCCCTGCCAGGTATCCCGAGGGCCCTTGAAAGGCACATCCATCGTATCTCTCCCTAGCACCTCCTGTCTCCCCGAAAAAGATGACCCCCTTCTCTCCCTAGTGCTCTGCTGTGCTTTCCGCTGGCCATACACGTCTCTCTGGGCCCAGCCGGATGTCTTCCTCATGGCCAAGGCCTCTGCATATGTGCTGTGTTGTCTCCCGGTCTTTCCTGCCTGGGGTGTCCATCCTGTCCCTAGTGGGACACAGTGCTCAGAGGCCCTGTCTGTCTGCAGGGGAGTGGGCGCCATGGAGATTGTGGCCATGGACATGAAGGTCAGTGGCATGTACATCGCACGCCAGCTCAGCTTTTCAGGGGTCACCTTCCGCATTGAAGAGATCCCGCTGTCCCCCGCCTTCGAGCAGGTCTACAATCGGGCAGCCCGGCTGGTAAGCTGGAGAGACTGTCTGCAGGGACCCCGTTCCTCCTCCGCCGCATCTGTTGGCACAGTCCCGCTCTCCCACACTCGCTGTGGGTGTCTGTAGGAGGGCAGGCGCTCTCCGGAGCCCGGTCTGCATTGGTGCAGCTGGGGCAGTTCTTTGTTTTTTATTTTCACTTTGACTTTTCTTTTGTTGTTAGAGATGGTTTCTCTGTGCAGCCCTGGCTGCCCTGGATCTCGCTTTGTAGACCAGGCTGGCCTCGAACTCAGAGAGATCCTCCTGACTCTGTCTCCCGAGTGCTGGGATTAAAGGTGTGTGCCACCACCACCACACTTACTTTTTTTTAATGATTTATTTTTATGTGTATTTGGCATTTTGCCTGCATGTCTGTGTGAGGGCATCCAGTCCCCTGGAAGTGGAGTTACAGACAGGTGTGAGCTGCCGTGTGGGTGCTGGGGATTGAACCTGGGTCCTGTGGAAGAGCAGTCAGTGCTCTAACCACTGAGCCATCTTTCCGGCCCCCATCACTTGTACTTTTATTTCTGAGACTATCCTGTCTCACTATAGCTCAGCTGGACTAAACTCCTGGCCATCCTGCCTCAGCCACCTGTGTGCTGTAAGAGGCATGTACCAGAACACCTGGCTTTTCATGAGAGATGTACCACTGTGATACTGTGACGAAGGCAGACCTGCCTCCATGTCCTAGGGCTCCAAGCTTGTTACCCTAGATGGTGACATGGAGCCAGTGGCCATTCCCAGCCTCCATGTGGTGGCAGGCTAATTTGATAAAGATTGATTAACAGAGGTTCCTGTTCCTCCACGGGCTCAGCAACAGGCCCTCAACCTTGGACCCACCCTGACCCTCCTCCCTCTGCTCTCCAAGTGCTGGCCTGACAGGCGTGTGCCGTCAGCCCCAGCTTGTCCAGTGTCTACGAGGCCCTGAGTGTGAGTCCCAGCATCACGAAGTAGGAAAGGACAGATGGGTGTCACGGCACACTACCGTCGCCCATGCTCTCGGGAGGCCCTGGCCAGCCTGGGCTACACAGGAAAACCCTGTCTCAAAACATAACAAAACAGCAGAGCCCCACTGAGAAGGAGTGGGGACATCTGTGGTGGGACTCCACCTGTCCCTGGGGCCGCCGCCAGTGAACATTCTTGTTCTTTAGGCCCAGCAGGTGCCTGGGACAGTACTGTCCCCAAAGAGTCTAGACTATGTCACAGACAAGTGTGGCAGTACTGACTGGGAGCTTCTGGCAGGGAATATGTGGAGGCCAGGGACACTGCTCAGGACCTTGCAGAGCCTGGGATTGGGCCTGGTGTCCATGGTGCCCAGGGCGCCTTGAGTTCACCTGCCCTGTAGGAACTCTAAAACTGAGTGTGAGGGTGCATCCTGTCATCCCAGCACTTGGGAGGTAGAGGCAGGAGGATCAAAATCAGGTCATTGTTGGCTACATATCCAGCTCAAAGCCAGCCTAGGATACAGGAAACTCTGCTTCCAGAAGCCCCTTCCTCAGCAAGAGAGGCTTTCAAGTCGGACACAGCACACACCTGTGTCTTAGTGCTCAGGAGGCTGAGGCAAAGGGATCGAGGCCAGCCTCGAGATTCTTTTTATTTGGTTGGCTTTTCAGGACAGGGTTTCTCTGTGCAGCCCTGGCTGTCCTGGAACTCAATCTGTAGACCAGGCTGGCCTCGAACTCAGAGATCCACCTGCCTCTGCCTCCCGAGTGCTGGGATTAAAGGCCTGTGCCATGACCACTAGAGACTACGTGAGATTCTTTTTGTTTGTTTTTGTTTTGTTGGTGTGAGATTCTTTTTGTTTTTGTTTTGTTGGTGAGTGATCTGCCTGCACTCCAGAAGAGGGCACCAGATCTCATTACAGACGGTTGTGAGCCACCATGTGGTTGCTGGGAATTGAACACAGGACCTCTAGAAGAGCAGTCAGTGCTCTTAACCTCTGAGCCATCTCTCCAGTCGCCTACATGAGATTTTTTTTTTTTTTTTTTTGTTTTTCGAGACAGGCTTTCTCTGTGTAGCTTTGCGCCTTTTCCTGGAACTCACTTGGTAGCCCAGGCTGGCCTCGAACTCACAGAGATCCGCCTGGCTCTGCCTCCCGAGTGCTGGGATTAAAGGCGTGCACCACCACCGCCCGGCTTGAGATTCTTAATCAAATAACAAACACAGCCCTCTCACAGCCCCATGCTTGTTTTTTCTGATCAGTTCTTTGCCAGCTTTGTATGTGAATGTAGTGTGTTTGGATCACATGCACCCCGCCCTGTGCCTTGGCTGTGACACCCTCACTGTACAGTTTTGGTCGCCGCCACTTACTGCCCCTCACCCCATCTGCCCCGAAGCCCCGCCTAAGGCCGGCTGGCAGGCGGGCTCAGCACAGGCCTTGCTCTTGCAGTGGGCCGAGGCTCTGAGCATCTTCCAGCAGGCGGCCGACTGGATCGGCCTGGAGTCCCGCAAGTCCCTGTGGGGTCAGTTCTGGTCGGCACACCAGCGCTTCTTCAAGTACCTGTGCATCGCCGCCAAAGTGCAGCGGCTAGTGGAGCTGGCCCAACAGGAGCTGAGCCAGGACAAGGTGAGGGCCACGGCAGCCTTGAGCGAGTGTCGGGGGTGGGGGTGGGGCCAGGAGGCCAGGCAGGGCTCGGGGGACTTGGTAAGATGGGACAGTCACCCTAGACCTGGCTCAGACACTCCATCCCTGCAGTGTGTGGTCATCGGGCTGCAGTCCACAGGGGAGGCGCGGACCCGCGAGGTGCTGGATGAGAATGAGGGTCGCCTGGACTGCTTTGTCTCCGCTGCAGAGTGAGTGACTTTTGGAAGTGACGGGACGCAGCAGGCACCGGGCAGCCCTCACGGGCCTCCTGCTCACCTCGCTGTGGCCTGTAGCTGCCCCTTGCCCCTCGGTAGCTGAGGAAAAGCCATCTGGGGAGGAGCAGACAGGAATCTTACGGGTGGCCCCTGGGTCCTGGAGTCTCAACAGGAGACTTTTGGACATCTGCCTACACCGGGTAGTGCCATTTCAACACAGTTCCATGGGGTTCTCAGGCCTGGCGTTGTGGCCCCCACGGGCCTACATACACGTCCCTCTCGGGAGTCACCTCCGTCCACCCCGTGAGGCTCCCCGTGCCCTTGCCACAGTGCGTCCCATCACCCCTCTCCGTGAAGCCGCATGCACAGAGCTGGGCCTGTACTGAGCTCCCTTCCCTTTGCAGAGGCGTCTTCCTGTCCCTGATTCAGAAGCACTTCCCTTCCACCAGGAGGAGGCGGGACCGGGCAGGCGGAAAGAGGAAAAGTAAGAGTGCCTGCTGGCTCTGTGTGCTGCCCCCTCACTCAGAGCCGCCTGGCGTCTGCCCTGCGAGTTCCCTGTACCAAGCAGGCGGGAGTTTGCACGTGGCCGGCCAAGGCGGCGACAGTGTGTGGGCCTCCGTTTCCCTGCACGGTGCTCAGAGAAGCAAGGCCTGGCCGAGCCCCCAGCGGGCTCCCACCTCAGGCCACCCCTGCCAGCCAAGGTGCCGGGGACCCCAGCGTCACAGCAGAGCCCAGCTCCAGCCCCACTTGCTGGCGGGCAGGGAAGCCTGTAGGTGCTGGACAGTCCGTGCTGATTGTAAGGACAGGGCTGTGCTCCGAGGCACAGGTCAGAGCACACGGCCACCTACCTTCCAGTCCACAGATTTCCAAATAATTCCCGTGCAAGCACAGAGCCAGGCATGAAGGACAGCGCGGGGACCCTCCTCCTGAGTCCCTGAGACAGCCCCAGGCCCCCTTACCTGCTGACAGGCTACAGCACTGACACTTGAGGTCCCTGGACTTCTCCCTTGAGGAGGCTCTGACACCCTTGAGCCTCTTGCCTACCTCTGGAGTCCAGCCATGAAGCCAGCCGGGGCTGAGGATGGGGACGTGGTGTCTCAGTTCACCTCGTCCTGCCCAGAAGTGGGGCCGGGGTCTTCCTAGAGGGAACACAAGGCACCTCCAAACCACAGGCCCCTGGGTCCTCCTCACTAGTGCCTCTGCCTGTTGCTCTCTGCCTGCCACTCCAGCTCCCCCCACTTCTGCAGCCCCCACCCCACGAGCTGACCCACGACTCCTCCCCGCAGGACGGCCTCGGGGTCGCGGCACCAAGGCTCCTAGACTGGCGCTGGAGGCCTCGGGAGTTATCCGTATCAGTGACGGTAGCAGCACAGAGTCAGATGCCGGCCTGGATAGCGACTTCAATTCCTCCCCAGAGTCACTGCTAGATGACGATGTCGTCATCGTGGACGCCCCCATGCTCCCCACAGATGACCGAGGTGAGCCTCCGTCACCCAGCCACACTCCATGAAGCAGACACAGCCACATGAAGTCCTTTCCCCAGCACATACCCATGTTACAGATGGGAAACTGAGGCTCGCAGCTAAGGTCAGAGCCATGCTATCAAGCACGGGAGAGTGACTCCCATCATGCCTGGCCTCCATCCTGGTCCTGCAGGGCCACTTCACTGATACTCTTTCTCACCCCCAGGTCCCCTGTACCCACTTCAGAGAGACCTGCAGGGCCCTGGCGTCCTGGAGCGTGTCGAACGGCTGAAACAGGGCCTGCTGGCCAAGGTGCGCGCATTGGGCCGCGAGCTGCCCGTGAACACGTTGGACCAGCTCATCCACCAGCTTGGGGGTCCTGAGTGTGTGGCTGAGGTGAGCCTGGGAGCCCATAGTCAGCTGAGGGCCCTGTGGGTCAACCTAGGGACAGAGGTGGAGCCTGACTGCAGAGGGATGCGCCTCCCGCCCCAGCAGAGAAGAGTACTTCCCGCTCTTCAGGTGGGCCTGAGGACACCGGCACACACGTGCCACACAGACGCGCTCACACGTAAAATAAAAAAACGTGTTTTCTAAAAGGAAAACAAGGAAAGACTTGGGTGGTGGCAGGAGGCCTTATGGCTGCTGAGGCCACACTGGAAACCAAGCCTGCACAGGGTCCCAGCAGAGCCACCTTGCCCCTCAAACAGGGACCCAGTGCACGGGCGTCACACTAACGTCCGATGGGGTCTCCTTTCTCCCCATCAACCACAGATGACAGGCAGGAAAGGCCGCGTGGTGTCCAGGCCCGATGGGTCAGTGGTCTTTGAGTCCAGAGCGGAACAGGGCCTGTCCATCGACCACGTGAACCTCAGGGAGAAGCAGCGCTTCATGAGTGGCGAGAAGGTGGGTCTGGTGCGAGGGCGGGGGGCAGCGCGGGGTGCTCCCCACAGCTCTGCACGGTGGGAGGGAGTAGCCCTGGGGAGCCTGAGCTTAGCAGTGAGGAGGGGCCCAACACCCTGTCCCACCCCACCCCCACCCCCAGCTTGTGGCCATCATCTCCGAGGCTTCCAGCTCCGGAGTCTCCCTTCAAGCCGACCGCCGGGTGCAGAACCAGCGACGCCGGGTACACATGACCCTGGAGCTGCCTTGGAGCGCAGACCGCGCCATTCAGCAGTTTGGTGAGGCTCCTAGCTCCCCCACCCCACCCCAGGCTCTCCCCCCCGAGACCCTCACCCAGTCTCACAGAGTCTCCTTGTCCTCAGGCCGCACCCACAGGTCCAACCAGGTCTCAGCCCCCGAGTATGTCTTCCTCATCTCGGAGCTGGCAGGGGAGCGCAGGTTCGCCTCCATTGTGGCCAAGCGGCTGGAGAGCCTGGTGAGCAGGCGGGGCCTCGCTGGGCGGGGCCTGGGGGAGGGCCAGGGAATGCTGGAGCCTGAATCACAAATGGTCCTGGGTCATCCTGGCAGGGTGCGCTGACCCACGGAGATCGCCGGGCCACCGAATCCCGAGACCTGAGCAAGTATAACTTCGAGAACAAGGTGAGTAGAGGTCGGGCAGCGGTGGGGAGACCGCCCCTACCCCGTCCGCCCCACTCACGCCGCCTCCCCACAGTACGGCACCCGTGCGCTCAGTCGCGTCCTCACCACGATCCTGGGCCAGACGGACAACAGGGTGCCTCTGCCCCAGGGCTACCCTGGAGGGGATGCCGCCTTCTTCCGGGGTGAGCCTGGGCTCGTGAGTCTTTCTGGGAGGCATGGGGACTACAGTGAGGCTGGTTCCGTCAGGATTTGGGGACTGGGTGTATGGGCAGGCTTCTAGGAAAAGGGCTTGGCGGGGTTGGCCTCTGGGATCCCAGCACACGGCTGGTTTTCCTTGGCAGACATGAAGCAGAGCCTGCTGTCCGTGGGCATCGGGGCTCGGGAGTCGCGCACCGGCTGCTTGGATGTGGAGAAGGGTGAGTCCGGAGAGTACTGGGAGGGTGGTGATGCAGGGGCCACTGGGGGGGTGAGGACAGCGGCTGAGACCCGGCTCGCCCGCAGACTGCTCCATCACCAAGTTCCTGAACCGCATCCTGGGGCTGGAGGTGCACAAGCAGAACGCTCTGTTCCAGTATTTCTCCGACACTTTTGACCACCTCATCGAGATAGACAAGAAGGAGGGCAGATACGACATGGGCATTCTGGGTAAGCTGCCGGGCAGGGCTGGACCCTGTCCTGTGAGCCGTGCTCGGGAGATCCAGCGGCCAGTGCGCCATGTATGTGAAGTCCACATTGAGAGGCTACAGACAAGTCTGGTCCACGATGCTGTCATTGAAGCAGTGTGGTCACCTGGGAAGCTCACACTGAGACCCACACAATGCAGTCACCAAAACCAAGCAAAACTCTGCTCTCAGGAAGCTTGTTCTGTGTCAGGCTGCACTAAGAGCCAGCCTGCACTGCATGCCGGCTGCATGCCTGCTGCATGCTGTGTTCCCTGGACATAGTCCCTGTCGCTGCTCTAAAGCTAAGGTTTTAGACCCTGAAGACACACGGTCGTTTATAAGTCGCGGTGGCACTTGTCTGTCAACCCAGCACCGGTAGAGGCAGATTCCTCCACTACATGCTGACTCAAGGCCAGCCTGGGCTACCTGAGATCCTGTCTCAGCAAACAAAAGAGGCTGGCAAGGCAGCTTGACAGGCAAAAGCACTCCAACCCCACACCACAACTGCCTGTAACTCCAGCTCCAGGGGACCTGGCGCCATCTTCTGGTCTCCGTGGGCGCTGCATGCACATGTGCACATAAATGCCGAGACACAGAGAAGAATGAGTTTGTTTTTTAAGAGCTGCCCTTGCCACAGCCCCCCTGAGTAGCTGTGCACAGCAGGATACCATGGACCCTAGACCAGAGGCCCCGACACCCACCCACAGGACACTGGTTCTGGACTCTGAGCCCCTCTGCCCATTCATGGGGTCATCTCTGGGGTCCATCAGAATCCGCTCCCGCGGCCTGGCCACTGACCACCCGCCCTCTCCTCAGACCTGGCCCCTGGCATCAACGAGATCCATGAAGAAAGCCAGCAGGTGTTCCTGGCACCTGGGCACCCACAGGATGGCCAGGTGGTCTTCTACAAGGTGAGCAGGGAGGCGCCCCGCCCCAGCCCTGGCTCCAGTCCCCCAACCTGCTAACACCCCCACTTGCCACGGCAGATCAGCGTGGACCGCGGTATGAAGTGGGAAGAGGCGTTCACCAGGTCTCTGGAGCTCCAAGGCCCCCATGACGGCTTCTACCTCTCCAAGGTGAGTGGACCCACTCCTCGTGGGTGCCCTGCCACCCACCTGCCCAGGGACCCGGGTGGCCCCCGCCTCACCACTCTGGGGCCCTAGGTACGAGGCAGCAAGACGAGCTGCCTCCTGGCAGAACAGAACCGCGGCGAGTATTTCACCGTGTACAAGCCGAACATCGGCCGCCAGAGCCAGCTGGAGACCCTGGACAGTCTGTGCCGCAAGTTCCACCAGGTATGGAAGGGCCTCCCTCCCCTCCCGTGCGGCCGGGCATGCGTGGGGAGACCCTGAGCCTCAGTGCCCCGCTGACGCACGGGCCTGCACCCCCAGGTCACCGCGGAGGCGGCCCGGGAGCCCTGGGAGAGCAGCTACGCGCTGTCGCTGGAGCACTGTAGCCACACCACCTGGTGAGGCGGGGCGGGAGCCCCTCGGAGAGGGCGGAGCCGGGCGCCGGGGCTGTGGGCTGGGGAAGCGCACGCTGCAGCTGACCGGCCGTCCCCTGGCACAGGAACCAGCGCTGCCGCCTGGCGCAGGAGGGCAAGGGCTGCGCCCAGGGCCTGCGCCTCCGCCACCACTACATGCTGTGCGGGGCGCTGCTGCGCGTGTGGGGCCGCATCGCCGCCGTCATGGCCGACGTCAGCAGCAGCAGCTACCTGCAGATCGTGCGCCTCAAGACCAAGGACAAGAAGAAGCAAGTGGGTGAGTGGGGCGGCGGGCACGGGCCGCAGAGAGGGCCTCCCAGGTACGGCCCCCGGGCGGACCTGACCGCGTGTCCGCGCTGCACAGGCATCAAGATCCCCGAGGGCTGCGTCCACCGCGTACTGCAGGAGCTGCAGCTGATGGATGCCGAGGTGAAGCGCCGCAGCGCCCAGGGGCTGGCCGCGCGCCCACCCACTCCACGCATGATCGCGCTTCCTTGCGGTCCTGGTGAGGTGCTGGACTTGACCTACAGTCCCCCAGCCGAGGCTTTCCCGCCGCCTCCACGCTTCGCCTTCCCTTCGCTGCCGCCCCCAGACCCCAGCTCTCTGATGCTGGGTGCGAGAGACCCTGCAGCCAACCCCGCGGAGCTGGCACACCAGGGCTGCGACATCAATTTCAGGGAAGTGTTGGAGGACATGCTCCGCTCTCTGCGCGCGGGTCCCACTGAGACCCCTCCGCCTCTGGTGGGCGTGGGCGGTGGGGGCACAGAGCGGCAGAGCGTCATCCACTTCAGCCCGCCTTTCCCGAACTCATAGGCGGCCACCGTGGCCCCTGGATTACAACTGTCCTGGGCAGCAAGGCCCACCGGCTCCTCTGCGAGCAGAGAGGTTCCCACGACTACTGAGGGCACTGGCACAGGGCCTTCCCCGCCAGCCGGGTGCGGGGCCTCGGCCTCCCCTGGGCTGCTCCAGCCACGCCCAGCCTGGAGGCCGTGGGGTTTGGTGGTCCCAGAGAGCTGGTAACTCAGGAAATCCGGTGCTGAGGCCCCACCGCCTATGGGGGCTCCACGGGGCAGACCCGTTAATATATGCAATCCCCTGCTCCCTAAATTATTGTCCCCCGCCTCTTACTAGCCCCGGAATCCGTGGGCAGCCGGCGGGCCCTGGTTTCTATGTATTTATAATGAACTCTGGTGTACATATGTAAAGATCTTTTTTAAAATATATGTGCCTTTTGCCTACTTCCCAGTGTGCTGCGGCCTGCAGGTCAGTGGAAGGAGGAGGGCCTGAGGGTCACAGAGCAGGTCCAGTCAGCATGCCTGTCCCCTTGTAGCTGGTGAGGACAAGCTGGGGAGACAGAATTCACCCAGTGGCCGCTGCATTCAGGGCCCTGCAGAGGAAGGGGGAGCAGGTCCTCAGTGCAAGGGATGCCGGGGAAGACCGATGGCACTTAGTCCACAGTCCTAGGGTCACATAGCCTGACAGTACAAAGCTCACAGCCCCACAGGGAGAGAGGCGGACATGGGCCAGTAGTCCAGGAGGGTAGCAGAGAGCCTCTGCCTGACTCCCAGACCCACCTGATGTCTCCACACTGTGCCCCAGAGGCCCTGGCTCAACCACACCCGCTGTGGGCAGACCCCAGATGGCCACTCCTGGTCACCCACAACCCCCCCAGAGAGCGCGTGTGCGCACACGCGCACACACACACACACACACACACACACACACACACACACACACACACACGCATGCCAGGCATAACCCTGGGGCAGGCATGGGCAACCCCGAACAGCTTTCCCAGGAGGCCTCCTAACCGGTTACCACCCAGGTTTCCACCCTCCGAGGGACAGCCCTGGCCACACGCAGGCCACCTTCCTGCTGGCCTGGGCAGAGCCTCAAGGATTAGCAGGGAACCAGCTGACCCAGATCTGCACCTGCCTGCCGAGTCCTGGGGCAGAGGCATGGCCCTCTAATCCCCGGCGTGCTCAATTCCTGAGGACACAGGCACATTTCTACATTTTTATTCCCACAAGGCAGCCAAGGTGAAGCTCGAGCCCAGGGCCACAGGCCCCCGGACCTTCCTCCGGCGGGGATGCACGCCAGGTCCTCAGGTCTGCCTCACCAGCAGGCTGGTTTGCAGGCAGACCGTCATGAGTGCCGGGGTGGAAGGCTCCAGGGGTCACAGGGCACGGGGGCTCGGTGGCGGCACACACTTGTAGGGCTAGAGATAGCACGGCAGGTCTTTCTCTATCACCTGTGGGGGAAGGACACGGTCAGACTTGCCCCTCAGCAGCCACACACGGCCCTGGCCCCAGCTCATACCCAGCTGCATCGCGAAGGTGCTTACCTGGGGCTCCTCCATGGGACCATAGCGCTTCATCACGCATCCGTTCTTATCAATGAGAAACTGGGGGACAGAGAACATGGTTGGCCAGGGTGCAGGGAGGTGGGCCACCCCCCCCCCCCAGTGTAACACTCTTACCTTGGTGAAGTTCCACTTGATGGCGCTGTGAGAGGGGAAAAAGAGGGTTTAGGAGTGGTACTCGCCAGGACATGGGCTGCATGCCTTTAACCCCAGCACTCAGTGGCTAAAAGAATGTACTGCTCTCTTCTGAAGAAGGGGGGTCAAACTCCCCAGCACCCACATCACATAGTTGTTCACAAAGGTCTGTAACTCCAGTTCCAGGGAATCACAGGCCCTCTCCTGACCTCTGAGGGCATCAGGCATGCATGCAGACAAAACATCCATACACAATAAATGAAAATAATCTGGGGGGGAAAAGAGGTGGGACAGAGACAGATCAGTGGTTAAGAGCACTCGGGAGGCAGAGGCAGGCGGAGCTCTGTGAGTTCGAGGCCAGCCTGGGCTACAGAGCGAGATCCAGGACAGGATCCAAAACTACACAGAGAAACCCTGTGGGGGCGGGGGGAAGAGAAAGAAACTAAAACCAAAAAAAAAAAGAAAAAAGGCACTGACTGCTCTTCCAGAGGATCAGGGTTCAGTCCCCAGCACTCACGCGGTGGCTACAACCTACCAAGCCCTGTAACTCCAGCTCTGGGAGATCCAACGCCCCCTTCCGGCCTCTAAACGCACTACACCCAAGTGCATATAAATACACCCAGGCAAAGCACCCATACACATAAAATGCAAATAAATAAATCTGAGGCCCGGCCAGGTGGTGCACACCTTTAATCCCAGCACTTTGGAGGTAGGGTAGGCAGATCTCTGTGAGTTTGCTACATAGTGAGACCCTGCCTCAAAACAAACCAAAAAGTTGGCACCCGCTCCCACCCTGGTCCAGAGACATGTGGCTGCCCCCTGCCCACTCCCCCAGGGCCACTCACTTTCCCAGCATGCCCCTGCCCTTGGGCTGGATTTTCATCCATTTCCACAGTGGGTGGGCATCGTCCCCATTTACACAGATCTTGCTGTACATGTCAAACTTGACATTGTAGCCGGCCGCAAACTCCTTGATTTCTTGATTACTTCCTGGCTCCTGCGGATAGCAATTGACTGACTGGTAAGGTGCACGCCACCGCACACAGACAGACACACACACACACACACAGACATAGCACCCCCACTCTGGGCCATTGCCTGGGGTCAGCCACGCACCTGCTTCCCGAACTGGTTGCAGGGGAAGGCCAGGATTCGTAAACCACACTCGGCATATCGGGCATGCAGATCGACTAGCTGAGTGTAGTTTACGTCGGTTTTGCCTCATTGCGAGGCCACGTTGGTGACGATGCACACGTAACCCCTGGGAGGGAACGAGTAGGAATGAGACCACCGGCAGGGGAGCCCCTTTTTCAGACCCGCCTTGCACCACCCACATAACCAGGCACCCACTTGTACTTATCCAGGCAAACCATGTGCCCGTCGATGTCCTTGGCTGAGAATTCGTGCATGGAGCGCGCACAGCGCCAATCATCTCGGGATGCGCACTGTAAAACAGAGAAACTGTGTGTCCTACCCTAGGTCCCCCAGTGGTAAGAGTCTGGAACGAACAAAAAGAATGCCCTGGGGCGATGGGCTGGGGAGTAAAGGCTCCTCCCCCTTCCGTACTTCGATTCCCTTCAGGTCCTCCTGAAAGGAGCTGTGGACCCCCTAGAAGATGCTACCAGGGAAGGAACGGTAAGGGTACCCCTGGCCGCACACCAAGCCCAGGAGCTCGGCGCAGTTGCTGGCCTGGGGAGGCTCCTGCAGCAGAGGCCCGGGGACCGGAACCACCGGATCGTTCCGGCGAGGGCGCGCCCTGCGGCGGCGCCGCGCACAAGCTTTCCTTCTCCTCGGAGGGCCCCGGCGCTTCCGAGGCCTTCGGCGTGGACGTTGACGCCGTCGCCGGCCTCCTGGGGACCCGCCGCGCTGCCTGCAGCGTCCCGGGTTGCCGGCGGCCGCGCGGCCCATGCCTGCCCGTCTGTGCGTCCCGAGCGCAGCGCGGGGACAAAGAGCCGGTAGCCAAGGGGCCGCCGATTGTGACGCACCAGGCCGAGCGGGCGCGGGGCCGGGTCAGAGCCCGCCATGGTGACCCCAGCACCCGTTCCCACCCCCAGGGAGCCTCCCGCGCCAAGGCCTGACCTTCACGGCCCCGGGGATGCCGGCGGGCGTCCGCGCTCCCGCCGGGGTGGCCCCTAGTCTAACCAACAGACCCCACGACCCCCGAGCTCCGCCCCGGACGCGGCGGCCCGCCCCCAGGCCCCGCCCCCAGCCGTGACCGCGGCCGCCCGGGTCCCCGGTGCGCCCACCATGGTGCCCGCCAGGCCAGGCGCAGCCAGAGCCCCGCACAGCAGCGCCGGCTTCAGCAAGCGGCTCAGACGGCCCCAGCTCATCTCGGCGGCCGGAGCCAGCGGCTCCTCCCCTCACGCAGCCGGCCAATGGACGCGCGCTGCCGAGTCTGGCCTGCCCGCCCTCGGCCACGCCCACTGACGTCTCTTATTGGTCGGTGCGCCTGCGCCGGAGGGCGCGCGGCCCCGGCGGCCAATGGGGAGCCGGAACGAGGGGGCGGCTGGGCGGGGCTGGACCTGCGGGTTTGTTGTTGTCAGCAACTGCGCTTGCGCGGCGGTGGGACGGACGGGGGAAACGGGAGCCGCGCCCGCGCGGGCTGCGCGTTGGAGGGCTGCGGACAGTTAGTTCACCCGCGAGGTCGCCTGCGGCGGGGCAGGGTGCCGGGGCGCTTAGGGGGGCCCCTGGGGATGGCCAGTGAGGCAAAGCCACCCCTCACCAACAGGCCCTCTGAGCACGGGAGACGAGCCTCATGTAGCCCAGGCTACCCCTGGCCCCTGGTCCTCTCCAGCCTCCCGAGTGCTGGGATGGATCGCGGGTGTGCACCACCCCCATGTTCCCTCCCTTTCTCTCTTCCTTTCCACAGCTGGTCTCATGTAGTCCAGGCTGTCCTCAAAAACTCACTGTGCATGCCTGACAGCCTCACTCCCGACCCTCCCGACCCTCCCGCCCCCTCCTCAGAACGGGGGTAACATGTGCTGGGCATGGAACCTAAGTGAGAGCTCTCAACCCAGACACAGCTTCCCCACCTCGTTTTACAGCTCAGGCCGGCTCGGAACTCAGAAATGCTCCTGCCGTAGACTCCCGAGTGCTCGGGGGACAGGGCTCTGGCACCGGGCCCGACCTGTCCCCTGTAGACAGCGAGGGAGACAGACTGTACAGACCGATGCATGTGGAGTTGATTAGAAGGGGTGTGGATTGAGGACTCAGTGAGTAACGTGATTGCCAGACAAACAACACAAAGAGCTTGCCTCAGATCCCAGCACCCACGGGAGCAGGTGCACATGGATGCTTTGTAATCCCCGGGGCTAAAGCAGGACGGTCAGATGCTTGGAGTCAGTCAGAGAACCTGCTGCCTCAAAAACAGGATGAAGACAGGCATACCCTTCACCCCAGCCCTTGGAGGCAGAGGCCAGCCCGGTCTAGTAAGCAAGTTCCAGGTCAGCCAGGGCTACACAGTGAACCCTGTCTCAAATCACAAGGTGGTGGGAGAGTAGGGAAGACCGACATGTCTTCCACACATAAACACAGTTACCGTGTGACCACAGAGGTTCCTGCACGGATAAAAGAAGCCAGGGCTCTTGAGGGCCCATGTGAGAAAGTCCCACGGTTCCTGGAGTGGAGGGCCCTGCACACAGAGGTGTGACTCAGGAAATTCCTCAGCCCAGCTGCCTGCCCGACTCCCCACACCCGCTGGACTCTGATCCCTGAACCAGCCCTTTTGTCTTCCCTGTTTATCTGACCCTGGAGTAAGCCATCTGCAGTTATGTGAGGAGACTTCCTGAGGGGCTGGGTCCATTATGGGGAGCCCAGGAGCCCCAGACCAGCCACCGGCAGAGCCCAGGAGGCTTCTACGACCAGTGATCTGGATTGTCACAATCCATGCTTGCACAATCAAGCTCTGGATTACCTCCAGGCCCCTTGGCCAAGAAATGCCCATTGGTCTGAGGGCCCCTCCCCTCTCAGAAAGTCATGTGTTTCCTCCCAGCCCCCAGACTCCAGTGACACAGCACTTCCAGCCTCCGTGAGGTTTTGCGTCACACTTTAGCTTGGAGTTGTAAACACTGGTGCCCAAAGGCTCAGATCGGCCACACCCTCACAGTCTGGGAGGCCCCAGGTCCCTGCTAACTGTCAACTGAGATAATGGCAGAATTGAAGAGGAGACCCAGGGCTGGGGCTGAAGGTGGCCCCTCCGAGGAGCCCCGCCCCAGGCTCTGGGAGTTCCTGCCTCCCCCAAAGAACCCCAGCTTCACCCCAGTTTCACCGGTTGGGAAATGAAGTCCTGGGGCAACCACAAGAACCCACTAGAAGGACCCTGAGAAGCTGCTAGCTCCTCGACCAACCACAAGGGCCAGTACCGGGGTCTGGCTTTTACTGCTTCGTTATTCTGGAGACAGGACCTCAGGTAGCCCAGGCTGGCCTAGAACTCACTATATAGCCAAGGATAGCCTTGAACTCCTGATCTCCCACCTCCACCTCCTGAGTGCTAGGATGACAGGTGTTTCTAAGCCTGTGAATGGGGTGCTGGGGGTGGACCCCAAGTTTTGCACATGCCAAGTGAGCCCCTAATTTCTTTGTATTCTGAGACCAGTTTCTTCTCTTTTCCCAGGCTAACTTGAGCTCCTGAGAGCACTCCATGTCTTGCTTCCCAAGGACTAGAATGACAAATGCACATCCACCAGCACAGGAGACCCTGGGAATTAAAGGTTGACGTCCTGGAGGGCCTGTGAAACCGGTTTAGGAAAGAATAAGTTATGTAAAGTGGAATTTAACACTCAAAGCTGAGCAGCCTTGGTAGGGACTGTAAGAAGAGTTCCCACTTCTAAAAGAATTACAGACAGAGACTATGCTTCAGTTTTGTTATTGAGATTGGCCAATTAAGCCCAGCAAAGGCGGTGCACACCTTTAATTCCAGCACTGGGGAGGCAGAGGCAGGCGGTTCTCTGAGTTCGAGGCCAGCCTGATAGTGAGATCCAAGACAGCCAGGGCTATATAGAAAGACCCTGTCTTGAAAAACCAATAAAATAAAATAAAATAATTTTAAAAAGTAAAATGGAGTCATGACAGCCAGGGGTGGGGAGCCCAAGATGCACATACTGTGGTCCTTACACACTGGAGTATTTCTCTGCCCTGAAGAGGAAGTAAGACTGACACAGGCCAAACATAGAGTGTTGTGAATATTAGTTTAAGGTGTGTTACCTTCGTTTATGCTTGGGAATATTTGTTTAATGATGTAAAGATGTGTTGCATTCTCGAAAAACAATACAAAGCAAAACAAAAGCTTGGCCGATTATGCTCCATTCCGTAACAAAAGGGGACACCCAGGCTCACAGCAGGCCATTAGCCCCGTCCCCATATCAAAGCTCTGGCAGTTCAAAGGCAGGTCACTGCCTGCCTTGCGGGTCAGTCCGGGTCTGTCCTTAAATCAGTTTTCCACTCTCTCTCTCTTCCCCCACAGGCTCAGATTTTACTACTGCAGTCTGGCCTCAGTATAGATCACTGGACAAAAATCGGAGCACGTGATTTCCAAGTTCTCACAGATTGTAACAACTTCTGTCACCACGAAAACAAAGCAGGATTCCGTCAGCCAGGAAAGAGGATCCTGGTCTGTGTCAGGGTGACTGAGATGATTTTTTTTTCCCTTAGTTTTGGTTTTTCGAGACGGGGTTTCTCTGTGTAGTTTTGGTGCCTGTCCTGGATCTCGCCCTGTAGACCAGGCTGGCCTTGAACTCACAGATCCTCCTGCCTCTGCCTCCCGAGTGCTGGGATTAAAGGTGTGCGCCACCACCGCCTGGCTCAGAGAGACCCTTTATTAAGCAGGGAAGAAAATTTAAAGTGGCTGCTTTCTGACTCAGGAAGAAAAACAGCCACAAGTGTTTGCAGGTGTCATTTTTTAAGAAAAGAAAAAGGGGAGGTCTGTGTTCGAATGGGCTAGGATGCCGTGCGATATTTTTATTGGGGTGTTAGGTGAGCCAAGGGGGGGTTTTTGATTGCTGGACTTCAATATGTTGATAGCTGGACCTCGGTGGACAGCCTCAGGAGGAGGAAGTGACCAAATAAGGGAACGGACCTTGGGGGCTAGCTTTAGGAACCTTAGCAAGGCGGAGCCGGTTCGCTCTGCTCGAGCCCTTCAGACTAGGTAGGTGTTGTTAGCACAATGAGAAGCACTTTTAAGTCTATACTTAGAAAACAACCAAAGGAAATTTAAATTTTGAGTTTGTGACTAACAGTGCTTTACAGGGCTAGATTAATAGCTTATCAGAACTCCAAAACTCCGCTGATTAATGTTAAAACTCTGAACTTTTGAAGTCTCAGTATAACAATGGCATATTGGTGGAAAGAAATCTTTTTTTTAATACACCTTAAATTTATTTATATACCTTAAATCACCTTTTTTAATCCGTTAATTTACCATGAGACACAGATGATTGATAACTGAGAGCAAGTTCCATTAAATAAAGGAGTACTAAAAAGTTACATTAACAAGCTGGGCGGTGGTGGCGCACGCCTTTAATCCCAGCACTTGGGAGGCAGAGCCAGGTGGATCTCTGTGAGTTCGAGGCCAGCCTGGTCTACAAAGACAGATCCAGGACAGGCACCAAAACTACACAGAGAAACCCTGCCTTGAAAAACAATAACAACAACAAAAGTTGCATTAACGTTCCCCAGCCTGCTGTTCGGGGAGATGGACCTTCCGCCTTAGATCCTGGCCAAGTTTGTCCATACTTCCGAGGGGAAGGCACTGGTAGCTGCTGCCACGGTTGGCCACATTTTGGCACTATGCCGAGGCGGAGCTGGTTTTGCCAACCCTGCTGAACTCCCTGCAGATACTCAGAGTGTGGAAAAAATAATTCCAAGTGCTCACACTGGTCGCTTCCAACAGCTTCAGTTGGGGAAGCTACACTGAATGGTTTGGTGGCCACCGAGGTGTGGATGTGGTTTGGTATCAGACAGATCATAGGCAAATGTGGCGCCGCTGGCCATGGTGTTTGAAAACCAATCTTGAT